TAAGTAAGGCTGTATGTCAACGGGTAGGAGGTTGGCTTTCAGAATGTGCCCTTTGGATATTTAAATGAATATATATTTTTTGTTTTGTATGCGTACATCAAGTATTTTTGCTTTGTTCATTTGTGAAATGTCAGATGTAAATGGGGAGTCACAGGGAGGAAGTAGGTAACTAGTTGCAGGGAGGGAATTATAATCATTGAGATAAAATAAAGTATAATTTCTTGAATGTAAAGCTAATGATCTTGTCTGTAAACCTTCACTCAATTCAAACACACACACAAAGTATACAAAAAATAGGTAGAGGAAAGGGCGATTTTACTGTAAATTTAAAAGATCCAATGCTAAAATAACTCATTTACTACTTTTTAAATTTTCTCTTTTATCATAATTACTCAAAGAGCTCTGGTAGCGTAGTGGTTACGAATTGGGCTGTGAACCACAAGGTCAGCAGTTCGAAACTACCAGCTGCTCCGCAGGAGAAAGATGAGGCGTTCTGCTCCCGTAAAGATTTACAGCCTCGGAAACCCTGTACAGGGTCGCTATGAGTCGGAACTGACGCCACAGCACATAACAACAACAACAACAATCATAATTACTCATAGTTTAATAAGGGTAAGAGAAAATCAACAATATCCTACGACATCCAATTTTTCATAACCCAGAAGCAATCACATACAGTTTTTTACGTCATTTTTTCAAATATTTACTAATAGATTCTAAACAATATGGCTTATGCTATTTATATTTTTTTATTTCAGCTTTGTTGTTGTGTACCATCTTGTTAGTTCTGATTCATAGTTACCCTATGTAACAAAGTAGAATTGACCTATAGGGTTTCCTAAGATACCAGGATTTCTGACCCAAGTGAGATACTGTGAAATAATATTTATTGTTTTAAGTCACTAATTTCAGGGTAATTTGCTACATGACAACAGACAGAGAATAAAAGGGAATTTCCAAAAGTTTGTTACAATGGAATGAAAGAATAATAGAATTTTCCACAAAGTTTTTGAAGCTCTCTAGTTCTGGTGTGGTTCTATAAGATAAGCACTGGACTGCTAACTGTAAGAGAGGAGAGGTTCAAACCCACCAGCAACTCCTCAGAAACCCATACATAGGGTCTCTGAGTCAGAACCAATTTGACAGCTCTTTAACATCAACAGCATAGTGTATCTCTATCTGTTAAAACATATCCAGTAATCCATCAGTATTATTTTTCAATTTGTGCCATTTCTCCTGGAATTCTGTCTTCCTGTGTCAACTCTGACTGACTAATCTCTAGTCTTGCTGTCACATCTATTTTGGCTTTCCCTTCACTTTTATCCTAGAAATTTCTTTTGCATGCCCCGATTTCTTGAATAGCTTCCTTCTCTGCTGGCACAGTAGTTTTCTAAGGGTACTTGAGTGGTAAATGTTTTGACCTTGGAAATCTGAAAATATCTTTATTCTGCACTTCCATTTGATTGATAGGCTAGATGTACAAGGCTAGATTATAAAAAAGTATCCTCACAAAAATTACTGAAACATTTATTAAATTAAAATATCAACTGGGAAATTATTTCTCATCTAGGTCTACACACTTCTGAAGACGGTGTTTCCAGCTCTCTAATTCTTCTCCAAGCAAGCCTGCATTCTTTAATTTACACCACATCAAACACAGCAGCTTGGGCATCCTAAAGGGATTTCTATAGTGTTTCTTTTAAATGCTCTTTGAGTTTTGGAAAGGAAAGGTGTCCAGAGAAGCAAGATCAGGCTGCAGAGTATTTGGGGTAAAGCTTCCCAGAGAAATTTCATAGACAGTCCTTGCTACCCTTAAAGAATGAGAAGGTGCATTGTTGTTGTTGTGTTGTGAAGTGCCACCAAGTCGGTTCCGATCCACAGCGACCCTGTGTAAGGTTTCCAAGGAGCAGCTGGTAAGCTTCAACCGCTGACCTTACAATTCAAATGGCTTTGCAATTTGACACATCAGCCCACACTGCGCCACACCAGGACTCAGTGCAGTGATGAAAAGAAATTCCTCAGCACAACTTTCCTAGCCTGTTTCCAATTTTCTGAAATCTCTTCATAATAAGCCTCTGTGGCCATTCTTCAAGAAAATCAATCTAGATAAGCCCTTCGGAATCTCAAAAAACAGTCATCATAACCTTATGAGCTGATTTCTCAGCCTTGAATTTAACTGGCCCAGCAAATGCCCTCAGAAGCCTGTTGTGACTGGATGAACTTTAAACCCATGCATGTATGAACTGGAACATTAGTAGCAATACTTTTTGACTAACTCTAGTATTATTCTAGGTTAGACATGATTATCCCTCAGAAGTCTGAAGAAATTGCTTCACTGTCTTCTAATTTCCAAATATTCTTTGTCGTGCCTGACACCATCTGATTCCTGATTTTTTTTAACATTCACCTCCCTAATGTGCTTTAAACTTTTCTTTCTCTCAACTGTTACAGACATTTGTGATTATCTTAAAATTACTCTTTCCATTCCCTTTCACTCTGGAAACATGTTCTTCAGTAACAAGCTATTTTCTTTCAGAATTCTCTTATCTGTTTTCTCTGTTCTAAAACCTTATTATCTACTGCTGGATCTCTAACTTTTCACAAAAACCAAACAAACAAAAAACCTTTTCTCTATTACTTTTATATCTTTGATTTTTGCTCATTTGTAGGCGTTTATGAATATTACCTTCTATGCTGTTACTGGGTTTTTTGTTCTTTCTTAATTTCTGCTGTTGTAATTCTCAAATATGCTTCTTCCTCATTCCCCCTACCGCTGGCCCTAGCTCGGATTGTGATCTACTCTCAATCGCCTATAACAGTCTTCTTCCTGGCCTCCTCAAATTCAACATTTCACGATTTAAAATACACATTGTACCCTTTCACCTTTTTCTGGATGCTTTAAAGTCTAGAAAGAGGAAAGTCCACATTCTATAACAGGAGATACACATAGGTCTTAGATCTGGCCCCTGCCTTTGTCTCTTGTCCCCACATCTCATACTCCATCAATATGGAACTAATACTTCACTGCTTTTCCTCCCCATCAGAGTCTGTGTTACATGTCTCTGCCTGTGCTGCTCTTACACTGGAAAATGCTCCCATTAACTCTGACTCTCACCTACCTTTTAACGCTCTGTTCAGGAATCACCTCTCCCAGGAGACTTTATAAGAGCTCTATGGGTTCATGTCCTTTCTCAGGGCTCCTCACAATATCCTGCTCCTGACTCTATTGTGCACCCAACATGTTGTAGTACCTTCCAGCCAGTTGCAACTCAAAATGATGCTGTATACTTTCTGAGGAGCCAACTAACTGGTGTGTTTGAGCCATTGACCTTGCAGTCAACAGTTCATGCTTATCCTACAGTGCCACACCAGGACTCCGGTACCCACCAGTGTTGCTGTCGTGACGTTCTGTCGAATCAGTTCTGACTCACAGTGAGCCTGCATAGGGTTTTAGAGGCTTTTAAATCTTTGCAGGAGCAGAAAGCTTCATCTTTCTCCCGTGGAGTGGCTGACAGGCTCAAACTATGGACCTTGTGGTTCACAGTCTAGTGCTTATTGTATGGAGCCACCACTCTACGCTTCATCCATCATTGTTATTGTTGTTAAGTACTGTTGAGTCTGTTCTAACTCATAGTAACCCTGAACAGTGTTTTCGAGGAGCAATGGTGGGTTTGAACTGACCTGGTGGTTCACCGTCCAGTGCTGCTCCTACAACACCACCTTATAAATTACCTATTTGCTTCTCCTAATAGTCTAATTTTCTCTGTTAGTCATAGATTCCCTTGGCCAAGAAGCATGCCTGACATATAACAGGGGTTGGAATGCCAGTTGGGTGAATGAATTTCTGTTTAATAAAAAGTCTGCACCATTTTGAGCGCACATTCTATATGTCTTTGAAGCACAGTTAAACTCATTTTTTAAAAAAATTTCAACTCAGTTTTGATTTGTGGCATTGTAAGAAAAACACAATGCAGAATAGTAAGCAGACTATCATTCCACAATTGTCCTAGAAAATGTTACGATCCCTTCCTAGAGCTTCAAGGGTTTGTTACAATGAAGACACAAGTGAGTTGCTAGCTACTGTCCTAAGTCAATAAAAAAGCATATTATTCTCATACTCCCATTGTTGCTGTTAAAGGCCATCAAGGCCATCCTGACTCACAGAGGCCCTGTATAGGGTTTCCAAGAACGGCTGGTGGGTTTGAAGCTCTGAGCTTGAGGCTAGCAGTCTAGTGCTGATTTTACAGTATTATACCCCTATTTTTTTGTGTTTACCTTAAAACTACTATTGCAGTCAAGTTCCATCGAATTGGTTCTGACTCATAGTGACGCTGCAGAGGGTTTCCAAGGAGTGGCTGGTGGGTTTGGACCGTCAACCTTGCGGTTAGCAGTCCAGTGCTTATCACACTGTGTCACACCAGGACATGTGCAAATAATTAGTACCACTTAGTGTTTCAGAGGACCCTGATATGGCACTATAGGATACGCATTAGACTGCTAACTGCAAAGTAGGCAGTTCAAATCCACAAGTCATTCTCAGAAACCCCTATAAAAGGTCGATAAGAGTTGGTACCGACTGGACAGCACACAATAACAAGTATTTCAGAACTGAGAATAATTCTGTTGTTGTTGTTGTCAGGTGCCATCGAGTCGGAACCGACTCATAGCGACCCCATGCACAGCAGAACGAAACAATGTCCGATCCGGGGCCAACCTCACTACCGCTGCCACACTTGACGCCATCAATGATGTCACCTGGCTGACATAATTCTAGGAATGATAAAATCAACATCCTCATCACACACCTAAGAAAATGAATACCCAGAAAAGTGATTTGTTCATGGACAGACAGTGTTAATAATAAAAATACCCATAATACATTCACAACACATATATGTATCTCAGTGAATGCAGTCAATGAACAGTTAAGTCTACATTCATTTAAAAAAAAAAAAAATTTGTTAAATACACAGTTTTATTTCTTTCAGGCACAATCTTACCCTTTTCCAGGTGGCCAGCAGCTGTTTATCAGACATCTGCTCTGGATAATCCGCAATTGCAAATACACATCCCAATAAGAAACCTTCTTCTGGTACTAGAATCATTTAAGAAAAAGAAAATTATACCCAAGAATCTGCATGCAGGAAAATAAAAAATATTTGAATTGATGTAGTTTATGGTGTATCATCCCCCAGTGACCTCAGCATATTTGGAATATTGTTAAAAATAGACTGGCTTGATCATCTGTGTTAAATAATATATAAAGCCAACATAATTTATACCTGGCCATTAAATACTCTGATTGGCTCTTGTACTAGCCTTGATTTTCACGATAATATTCGTTTTAGTACACAGATGTCCTAACATACAAAAGAAAGTATAATTATCCCATTTTATAGCTATATTCTTTGTTAAGTATGGGATTCACAGTCTCCATTTTATAGTTAATTGTTTTGTTATGAATCCTTACTCTATCTTCAAATACTCTCAAAGCACTTATGTAAGTACAAATCTTTCAGGAGAAATAAACGGTGGGGGGGGGGGGGGGGGGAGGGGAATCACATTACTAACTCTCCATTGCTGGATCATGTCCAAAAAGCTGATGATGCTGGGGCTGCTGGGGCTGCTGCTGCTGCTGCGGTTGTTGGGATGGAACCTGATGCTGTAGTGTCTGGGGTGTCTGACTCAAGTGTTGTGCTGTTTGAGTTTGCATTTGCTGTTGCTGATGTTGTTGGTGAAGGCGTTGTAACTGCTGCTGCTGTAACTGATGCTGAATTTGTTGCTGCTGTAACTGTGCTAACTGTTGCTGTTGCAGTTGCTGTTGCTGCAGCTTATGTAACTGTTGCTGCAGGACATGCTGTTGCTGGAATGACTGTAGCTGTTGCTGAGGGCGATGCAGCTGCTGTTGAGGATGCAACTGTTGCTGTGGAAACTGTAGCTGTTGCTGTGTAAACTGATGCTGATGGATTTGCTGCTGCTGTGAAAACGGATGTGACTGTTGTTGGGGGTAAGGTTGTTGAGAAATCTGTTGCTGTTGTTGTTGCTGGAGCTGCACAAGCTGCTGGGGTTGAAGGTGTAAAACCGGGTGGTGCTGCTGCTGCTGCTGCTGCTGCTGCTGCTGCTGCTGCTGCTGCTGCTGGGTCTGATGTTGCTGTTGTAGCATATGTGTCTCTGGAGTTACTTTCACTTGACTAAACAGCACTGCATTTGCATTTCCATGTCCCGGTTGGCTATGATTCACCTGCTGTTCTAAATTTTTTGTAGGTGCTGAAAGAGACTGCAAGATCTAAAAAACAAAAATGAGGTAAAGTCACTGTCAGTAGTTCCTAAAATGTACTAATTCTCAATCAGTACATTCTGCACGTTACTTTACTATTCAACTAAGTGGGAACTTCAAATGATTAGAACCTTCATAAACAATGCAGTATTCTCTTTTATACTTAATAAGCATCACCAAAATTAATATAGCACCTAAAATTCAGACTTGATGACCACCAAAATTCGAAACTATATGAATAAAATAGAATAAGCTAATCAATTAAGAGACAGACACAAAAATACATATGGTCCATGTAATCTATAGGGGCTAGCATCTGATACTCAGACTCTTGATCTAGCCCCCAAATCTTCGAACCACAGCTGCCATTTCCATTTCCTCCCACATTTACGGCTGGGAGCACAATAAAGAAAGTTCCCTGGTAAGAGTCACACATCAAGAATATCTTCCAAATGAAAACCTGAGGGACAGCTATAAAGCTGGGAGTAGCTCAGACAGCAGTTAGCACCATCACGGTTACGGACCACTCCTGATCATCTCCTGGCATCTGGTCTGTGTACAAGTTACACAGACGGTGGACAGAATAGATATCAAAAAGAGGTTTCTTTAAAGAATAAACATTCCCAACTGAAAAATCATCACAGCAGCTAGTAAATTATTTTCCTCAAAAATAACTGGAGAAAAATCATACATCAGAGTCTGCTCTATCCCTTCTGATTCATTCTGTATCATAATGATAGAGAGAAGGCAAAGTAAGTAAGTACATGTAGACGGGGTTGGAGGGAAAGGCACAGTGAGTCAGGAGATGCTCCACAAACTCAAAGTGACTTATTATCCTACATCAAACTGAATATAACAAAAGCAAATAAGGGAATATGTTATGCAATGAATTATGTGTTGTTGTTGTTGTTAAGTGCCGTTGAGTCGTTTCATGAATTATGTGTAACATACTTCAAATAACAAAAACTGGAAGCCAATTTCTATGGTCATGGAACTGGTAATCAAACAGATTTTGTTAAGATTCAATCAGTACAACGTTGCATATTAAAAGCACATTTATCATTTAAATAAAATCCAAGAGATTAAATTTTAATGCTATCAAAACTGTACTTAAATCTCAATCACTTTTTTTTTAACATGTATGACAGGATTTCAAAAGTTCTTGGAAAAATTCCATTCCCCTTTCATTACATTTCTCCATAAACTTTCTGAAGCTGCATGGTATTCCCTGACTCCCAAGTGTAAATATTATATAATCTCAGAAGTAATATATCTTGAATTTAGTGATAAAATAATTGAGTTTGAAATCACCTTTAAAGAGATGCATTCCGAAATGCCTCAGCTGAATTTTAAACAGGAAGTTGTTAAACAAGTATGTAAAATTGCAAGATTACTGTTTCTTGGCTATACTTAAAGAGTATTTAAAAAATACCTAGTAAAAAGGGGGAAAATACCTTCACCTCACCAAATACAACAGTATTTGGTGTATTAACACTGTCTGTGTTGTACAAGAATACCTGCTTGTATATTATGGAGATAAACTACGGAGCCAATCAACAAGATAAACTACGGAGCCAATCAACAAGCGATTCCGTCTTGAGAAGGGAAATAGGAGTCAGGAGTGGCAGAGAGTTTAGCTTTTCACTTTATATCCTTTGGTGCTGTTTTATTTCTTTCATGCATGTATTATTTCTTAACCTTTAGAAGTAAACAGGATGGAAAAACGGAAAAAAACACCTGTCTGTCACAATGAATAGGATCAAGCCAACTGTTTGCCACATACACCTTCTCTCTACACCCTGCCAGCCCAGATCCAAGAGTAGTGCTGAACTATATGAAGAACCTACACAAACAAAGGTATGAGATCAGAGGAGGGGAAAGGATGCCCTTCCTCTCAGTACTTATTCTTCATCAGAGTGTCCAGAACATGCCTGCCTAGGTAAGTCCTCTGCTTAGAGAGTATATGATCTCAGAAAGTCCAGGGTGACCAACAGGGGACAGGAAGGCAACTTAAGAGCTTTTCCTACTATGGACATTAGAATAAAAGATTTAAAAGGGTCTACAGTGGATATAAACATTCAAGACAAGAGCCCAGCTAGAAACAAAGAATTAGCCTGGAACATAATAGGCATCTGGAATCAAGAAGGAGCAGGGATCTGAGGTGCAGGTCTGGCTGAGCAGCTAGAACCTTGAAGTGACAGCACCTTGAAATGTACCTCTCTGTACTTCTCTGATCAGTCCTGAACCCCTGACTTGGCTGAAAACTTAACATTAGTTCTCAATCATAGAAGAAAAAAATAAGAATTTTAATTTCTCAATGAGATAATTGTGTCACCCTATAAACAATAATTCTGAGTGAATGTCAAACTTGAATTTATTTTTCCTTCACAACTGCTACATTTCTTATTTAAATCATTTAATACCAAGTGTTACAGTATACAAAGCATGGTAGTTACTACATGGCTCCTAACCACTATACATATACAATGTTAACAAGATTTTCAGGGCGAGCTATATTTTCCCTCAATCTAATTTTAAACTAGATGTGAATTATATTTCTAACATTTCAAGAAATTTTCTTACATCTAGCAGCAAGATGTCCTGGTATTCTCTTACATCGTTGAAAACTCAGAATATAGCAACTGTTTTCATTAGTGATCAAATCTATTCATTTACTAGTGTAGATGAGCCTTTCTATTTTCATCTCTAGGGTACACACCTGAGTTCATCTTACAATGAATGAAACTTTATCTACAAGACGATTTCAAAATCAAAGAGGTGTCCACACTTCCTATTGTTTTCCACTGCAAACCAGATTATTGTATCACTACATCCAGACACAGAATCCTGGTGTGGCACTATAGGATTGTACACTAGATAACAAGGTTGGTTTGAACCACAAGGATGGTAGTTCAAACTCACCAGCCACTCCTTAGAAACCATATACAGGGTCTGAGTCGGAAGTGACTCAACTACACTTAACAACAACATCCAGACACAAGCTGAAGAACCATGGATTTAAAACATCCACTGTATTTGAAAAATATAGAGTCCTGGTATGACACTGCAGGATAAGCACTGGACTACTAACTGCAAGATTGGTGGTTCAAATCCACCAACCACTCCTAGGAAACCCTATACAGGGTGGCTATGAGTCAGAATTGACTTGAAGGTACTTAACAGTAGTACATAGAAATTAAATAGAATATGGAAATACAATACAGAAAGGAATAGTGATTGATTGGTGGTGCTTTATAAAATGCAAATAAAGAACATTTTCATTCTATTTTAAATGGATTATTTTCATTCATAATTTCACAAATAAAGGAAGAAAATAACATTTCTTAAGCTGTCAGAGAATTTACACATTATTTCATATATTCAAGTACTCTCACACCACCCAACTAGAGATTCAGTCCATGAACAACACTCCAAGTCTTGTATTCCCAATCATCCCTGAAACAGTCTAATTGGGTGTTCCAGGTCTTCTGCCTGGAACTTGTTCACCTTTCCCCACTGCATTTAGTGGCACCACTACTCTCTTAGATCAATGATTTAGAAGTACCTTCACCTCTAGCTGGTCATTCTTTATGTCCTTTATTTTCTATTTGTTACTAAGTCCTCCTAGCTTTCTAATAAGGAGCCCTGCTAGGGTAGTGGATGACAAGCTGGGCTGCTAACATGAAGGTCGGCAGTTCTAATCTACCAGCTGCTCCTCAGGAGATGATAGATGAGGCCTTCTGCTTCTGTAAAGATTTACAGTTGCTATGAGTTGGAACCAACAATGGCACTTAACACCACTACCACCCTTGCTGGGTGCTAATGTATGCGGGTAAGCTAGACAACACACTCAAGCATTTCAAGATGTTGAAAACAGGTCTTTCTATGCATTTCGTCTTTTCCCCTTAAGTTAGGTGACTTCAATACTCACTTAGAAAATCTTTCTGAATAAACACTAGCTTTCAATTCTTTGATGACCTCGTCTTAATGACCTTCTCTATTTTATGTCAGACACTCATTCTCAAACATGCCCTAAATTTGTAATCAGTAGCAAACTCAAATCTATGATGGGTCTTCAAAAAGTTAATGTAAAAATTCCAAGTATTTTCCCAATTCCATTTTTCTACAAACTTTTCAAAGCTCCCCTGTACCTACAGGAACCAGGAGGTAATAAAAACTGTGATGGGAAGTAGAAGTAATCAAACATAGAGTGGTGGGAACTGAAGTTCAACCTCATTTAAAAACGGGCAGCTGCTCCACAGCTCCGAGGACTACTGTTTTTCATTGTTTACGATGCTTAGGAATGCAAGCACCTCAAAAACAAGCCAAAAACCAAAGCTGTGGAAAAATCTCAAGGTTTTATGAAATAAATCAAATTTTTAAGAAATTATGTGGGCAAACATAAAAAGCATTAAGGAAGAATATGACTTATGGGTTACTGGTTTGCAACCTCAACACTATGTCTTTCATCACCCAAAGGCACCACACATTCAAATTGCTAATTCAAGTATACCAATCTCTTATGAAGGAGTCCTGGTGTGGTGCTGTGGGTTAATGTGTCAAACTGCAAAGTCATTTGAACTGCAAGGTCGGTGGTTCAAGCTCACCAGCTGCTCCTTGGAAACTTTATTCAGGGTCACTATAGTTCGGAATCGACTCGATGCCACTTAACAACAACGTCTTACAGAACCAGCTCTTCCCACTGGGTTGCCTGTGTAACTATGACCTGAGGAAGAATATCCCAAATTGGAACTCCCGATATGAGAACTATGCTAAGTTCTGAATCAAAAGTAGTCTCTGCATGAGGAATGTAACCTGTCATTCCAATAATTCTCCACCATGCACTAAGAAAATTACTTAATAAACAATTTTAGAGAACAATATTTTGCTTATTTAAATGAGTTTTGCTTAATGCTGAGGAAGCCAAGTCCAAATACAATTCTTAAAACAGATACTTCTTGTTAAATGCCGTCGAGTCTGTTCCACCCCATAGTGACCCTGTATAGGGTTTCCAAGGAACAGCTGGTGAGCTTGAGCCACCGACCTTGTGGTTCAAATCAACTCTGCAGTCCAGCGCATTAACCCACAGTGCCACACCAGGACTTTTAGTCAACAGAAACTTTAGAAGTATGCATGCCCTCCCTGCAGTCCCACAAGGGTCTCATGATTATTACAAGGCCAGATGTACCCAATTTAGTGATTACTTGGCAACTTTTATAAAAACAATTTTACAAATGGATGTAATCTCTTACCAATCAGATGCAATCTCATTCAATTTTATAACAATTACCTAAACATCACCTAATCACTTAACTTTTACTGAAGTTCTTACAAACGTTACCTAACGGGAAAGAGCTCTGGTAACCTCAACGTTGGCAGTTCGAAACTACCAGCTGCTCCGTGGGAGAAAGATGAGGCTTTCTGCTCCCGTAAAGATTTACAGCCTCGGAGACCCTGTATAGGGTAGCTATGAGTCGGAACTGACTCCACAACACCTAACAACAGTGGTCAAACAATCACTGAAAGTTTTATATGAAGTTTTTTGTATTTTCCTGACCAATCTCTTTCCTGGATCGCTTATTTCATAATCCTCTGGACTCTGAGATTCCCAATGTACAAATTGCCTTGCCTCTCAATACAAGCTCTTTACTTTTAATTTCAACCAGACTCTGCCATTTTGCTATGCAACACACCATTATGGTTGGTCTTCATCTTAGTGGACAATGCAAGCCCCCGATCCCTTTACTTTCTTCTTACTCAGATTGAACTTCATATATTCATGCTTGCTAATATACCAACCTAGACTCGGGCCTAACTATGTCCAGCATTCTTATCTTCCCAACCTCTATAATAACTATTTCAAAATCTTCTCAATGCTCCAAATCACTGATTCCCTCCTTTCTCTTCTACACTCTGTCCACCTTGCCTCATGCCATCTTAAGCTTCTTCTTTCTATTATCTAAAGGTTGTGTTTTATTTCACCTTACTCTGGATCCTAATCCCATTCTATGTTCTAAAGAACCATGTACTTTAGTAATTCATTGCTTAGCCTCTCTCATTAAGAGAAAGGAAGAAAGGAGAAAGGGAGAAAATGAGGAAGGCTCACCCCTTATGTATTATCTTCCACTAGCTACTATCATACAATCTGCCTCTTCCATTTTATAGCTTAACTTTAAAAACTGTCTATAGTTGATGGACTGATTTCATCACCTTCTAATTCTAATGTATCTTCAACCACAACTACCCTAACAAAACATTACTGCTAAGGTCAAAAACCTCCATCATGCTGATAAACACAGTATTTTCCAGTTTCACATCTCTGGAACTGACCCACCTGCAGTACTGGATACATTGACTATGTCTTTACAGAAATACTCTTAATCCCTGGGCTTCTTAATAACACACTTTGTTTTTTCCTGAACTCCTTGTCTTTTTCTTTCAAGATTCATTTATTGTCTTTAAATCCTCAACCTCAAAAAAAAAAAAAAAACACAAAAAAACCCCCCTCAAATATATGAGTGCTTGCCAGTGATTTTTCTAGATAGTGGCTGGTGAGTTTGAACTGCCAACCCTGTGGTTCAAACCAACCTTGCAGTTTAATGCTTATCACGATTCCATGTAATTCTCAAAATATTATCTATGGCCCACCCTCCTAGTACAGACAGTAAAAGGATCCCAAAATTTTAAGTTCTTTTTAATTTCTAATAAAGGAACGACCTCTGGTAGCGTAGTGGTTACGAATCGGGCTGCGAACCTTAAGGTCAGTGGTTTGAAACTACCAGCTGCTCCGTGGAAGAAAGATGAGGCTTTCTACTCCCGTAAAGATTTACAGCCTCAGAAACCCTATACAGGGTCGCTATGGGTCGGAACCGACTCGACGGCACTTAACAACAATTCTTTACACTTATTTTGAGAGCACCTTAGGAGTCATGGTGGCATAATTGTTAAGCACTTTGCAACTAACTGAAAGGTTGGAGGTTCAAACCTACCCAGTGATTCACATGAGAAAAGTCCTGGCTAACTGCTCTAGTAAAGATCACAGCCTAGGAACCACTTAGGAATGGGGCTGGGAGTTCTACTCCACATGTGGGGTCACTAAGTCAGAATCAACTCAAAGGCATACAACAGCAAACAAGCAATTATGGACAACCTACTAACTTAAAGAGGGTTATTAAATTCATAATTTTAATTTAGACTTCTCAACAAACTTATCAACAAATACTTCAATATTCTATCAAGAAATCTCTCTACTACGCAATACATGACAATGCTGTATGCAGATATACAAACAGAATTTCTGTAGTCACTGCTTTTCTGATTCAGTCATGCTTTTAAATTATAACATGTTTTACCTTCATCATTTTAGTTGTCTATGGATTGGTTAACCTTACACTATATAAGGATATTGTTCTTGAGTGCCAACAACATCACATCACTTCCAACTCATAGCAACCCTGTATAGGGTTTCTGAGAAGTGGATGGTAAGTTTGAACAGCCAAACTTGCTGTGCAAACCAACCAAGCAGTCTAGTGCTTATCCTACAGCACCACAGCAGGACTCCATATTTCAAAAAACTAATTTGTCTATTAATATTTCCATAGCTGAGCTTTAGAACATGTGTGTACTGAAACTCAAATAGCTATCATCCACACCATTATGAATGTGGTTCTATGATGACATTTTATAAGCATCAAGTTTTCCCACCGAAAGTGGGGCTGTGTGGAATATTGGGTCACTTCAAACTGTTCCTATACTGTTCATGGCTGTTTTTCTGGGACTCTGTACTGTGAATCAGGAGCACTGATGGCACAGTGGGTTAACTGTCTGGCTGCTAAGTACAAGGTGAACCGTTCAAATCCAGCAGTTGCTCTGTGGGAGAAAATAAAGCTATCTGCTTCCATAAAGATGTATCTGAAATACCCTCAAGGAGTAATTCTATCTGCTGTCCTAAAGGGTCACTCTGGTAGCATAGTGGTTAGTAATCAGGCTGTGAACTGCAAAGTCAGCAGTTAGAAACTACCAGCTGCTCCGCGGGAGAAAGATGAGGTTTTCTGCTCCCGGAAAAGATTTACAGGGTTGCTGTGGGTCGGAACTGACTCAACAGCACTTAACAACAACAAAGGGTCACTATGAGTTGGAATCACTTATTGGCAGTAGTTTTGGTGCTGTTATTTTGAAATAAAATATGAAACAAGTGTGCCAGAATCAGGCGAACCTGCAGAATGATCTGAAGAGTTAGATGGGATGCTCCACGAATGTCAGTAATCTTTAGAGCTTGATCTTCGACTCTTTTCTCACTCTGCCCTCTCTTCCTGTGCAATCACATCCAGTTCCAGGCTTCAACCAGCATCGTTTCAGCTGCTGATTGTGCTGAGAGCCAAATACGCAGATCCAACTACTTATTAGACATAATCCCCTTGGATTTCCCAGACACCTCAAACCCATTTATAAATTAGTAACTTAAAACCTATAGCTCTTTCAATATTCCTTTTCTCTAAAATAGTATTATTTTCATTCAGTTGTTCAAGACAAAAAGCTGGGTCCTTACCTTAAGTCTTCTTCATTTACTAAACATGTTCTTAAGTGCCTTCAACTCATAGCAACTCTGGGTAGAGTGTCTGAGTGGCTGGTAGACCTAGACTGCTTACCTTGTGGTTAGCAGTCCAGTGCTTATCCTACAGTGCCATACCAGTATTCCTTTACTATGCATAAGCCTCCTTAACATTCTTTTCTTATAAGACAGTAACTTTACTCCCACTCTGGGTCTTCATAGTTGCTGTTCCTTTTGCCTAGAACTCTTAGCCCTCATTTTCCATGACCCCTTTGCAATTTAATCTTAAGCCAAGTCACCTCCCTTTATGAGACATTCTCTGACAGCCATACCCAAAGTAGCCTTTCCCCCCTGCTACTGCTATTTTGTTATTGTTGTTGCTAAGTGCCATCACGTCGGTTCCAACTCATTTTGTTGTTACGTGCCGTGGAGTCAGTTCCAGCTCATAGCGACCCTGCACAGGGTTTCCGAGGCTGTAAATCTTCACGGGAGCACATAGCGGCCCTGTATATAGGGTTTCCAAGTAGCGGCTGGTGAGTTTGAACTGCCGACCTTGGAGTTCAAACCGACCTTGTGGTCCAGTACTTTATCCCATAGTGCCACACTTCTATTTTATGACCCTGTATTAGTTTCCTGAAAATGTCTATAACCATCAGAAGTCATTCTGTTCATCTTTGTCTGCGAATTATCTGTATCCTGCACCACAAGAGAGAACAGGGAACTTGCCTTTCTTGGTTATTACTTTACTCCATGTGCCTAGGTGTTGTTGGTGCTAAGTGCCGTCGAGCTGATTCTGACCCATAGTAACCCTGTATAGGGTTTCCACAAAGCAGCTGGTGAGCTTGAACTGCCGACCTTGCAGTTCAACCTGGCAAACAGACAATGGTCTATATCCTACCTGAACTACTCTTCATTCTATCTTAAACTGAGAAACAATCACCTGAAAATTTAAGATCCACTGTGTCATAAACAGTAAAACAGAGATTAAAGCCGTCTTTGGTGAAGACTTACGTAAATTCATGTAATTTGTTTCCCATGAAGTTCATTATAAGCAAATAAAGAATAGTGGACAAATATATTTCTTCTCTTATTGACAATATAATTTATTACACACCAAAAAAATGACTAAAAAATATTCTCATTACTTCACTAACACAAATAAATATCGCTTATAAGTTATTTAGTCTAACGCAGAAAATAATTTTAAAAAACACTAAAACAGAGTCTATAATCCAATACAAAATTTTTGCTTTAAAAAGTGACTTACATGTGCTACATTTGATGGTCGGTTAATCTGCTGAATGTCAGCATTATTAGTAATATTTCTCAATGTCCGCACAGCTGGACTCCAAGAAGCTATCATTTCTGATCTTTCAGAGCTTTGGAGAGTTTGTCCTGAAGACATGAAATTACCCCGGACATCAGGAGGCAAAATGTTACCTGGGACCGGAGGTACATTGACACATAAATTAATTAATCCAGACTCTTTACCCTGAGGTAGTCTGCGTTTTGCTGCAGCTAACTGTGGGACTTCAGCTGGGGTCCAGTTTAAATTTCTCTCTTGTTTTTCAGGTGATGAATCTGAGGAATCATCAAACATTAATTCCCCTTTAGATTTTTCAGTGCTTGATTTGGGTGAAAACTGTTGGTCGCCTGAAGGTGATCCTTCTTGAGAACTGGCAGGGCTTGATTTTTCATCTGTGCTACCCTCATTTTGAGAATCTTGTTCCTCATTTTCCACCTCCTCCTCCTCCTCTTCTTCTTCTTCATAAATAATTAGGCGAGGGTGATAAAATGCTTCTTCTTTTTTAGTTTTATCAGCTATGGAATCCAGGACCCAGTCAGGAGTCACAATTTTAATACTTGCTCGCTTAAAAGCACATTCATATTTTTCCTGTAAATAAAGCAAACACATACATAAAAATGAAGCTTTAATTTTATTAAGTTTCCTAGAATTGTACATTAAAAAAAAAAAAAAAAAGGTTTAAGAAAAGGATGCAGTGAGAAAAGTTAATAATTGCTACTGTCATTAGATAAATACAAAGGAAAAGCTCCATCTCCATTTAGAGGACACTGAGCTAGAAATCTGAAATGAACGATATTATCAAGTATGACAGGAAATGTCTCCTCTGTAATAACTGTTGTTATTAAGTGCTGTCAAGTTGGTTCCGACTCATTTCTGAACGTGTATAGGGTTTCTGAGGAGCGGCTGGTGAGTTTGAACTATCAACCCTGTGGTTCAAACTGAACTTGAGGTCCAGTGCTTTATCCCACAGTGCCTTACCAGGTCTGTAATAATATTCCTAATAAATTATCTTTTAAATTCAAAAGTATAGCTGGGAATACTTTGGAAAGATCTCTTATAAAATCAATAACTGTTATCTAAAGTGTTTCTTACTTAATGTTTACAAGGCTGGCTCTCCATGCTAAAGGAATCATATGGTAGAGTACTTTCAATACACACCCAAAAGTGTAGGTATCTTTTCATGGAAATGCTCTCAATTACCATTTACTGAGCATTTTCTATATACCAAGTAATACTAAGGATTTGTAGACTCAAAGCAATTAAGAAGTCTATGACTCAGAGAGTCAATTTAATTCTGAAAATAAATCAAATATTCATTAAGAGTTTTATGGCACAAATTGTTGAGTGACATAGTACTTAGACTGCAAAAGATTTTATATCACTGTGAATTAGAAAACTCAGAAAAAGATTCATTGAAGGGTGAAAGCTGGCTGAGCCATGAATGATAACGTGTATAGTTGAAAAAGAGGAGCAGAAAATATGGCATAATGGGAAAAATATACTTGTAACACATGGTGGTGGTACTGTTGTAAAGTGCTGTCGAGTCGGTTCCGACCCATAGCGACCCTGTGTAGGATTTCCGAGGAGCAGCTGGTGAGCTTGAACCAACGACCTTGCAGTTCAAATGGCTTTGCAGTCTGGCGCATTAACCCAAAGCGCCACACCAGGACTCACTAAAGATTTTCCTACTTGGCACATATAATGTGAAATTCAAGGTGGAATGTATACCAAGAGAAATACATGTAAAATCTTAAACAGAAGAATAATTTTTAAAAAATGATTGTGCATATTTGGTTTAATTAATTAGTAGAATCTCTGCTTCTAAAAAGTTTAGGATGCAATAGCAATTGTCTGGCAAACACAAAAGAATTAGAGCCCTAAACTTAAACCCATTTCCTGTTTCAGAGACCAAAGGCAACATTTGTTGTTTACGGTCATGCTAAGTATTATGCTCCATGAGGCTGTACAGGAAGTACTCGGATATGGAATGACTGCTTTCAGATGTCTTGTTCTTTGTCGAGAATTGGTGTTAAGAATGTGAAGTGCTATAAACCTGGGAGATTTATCTCTTGGGAAAGAGTAGGTCTACATAAGGCAAGTGATTTCACTTTCTGCTGTTTTGAGGATGTTCTTTTTTAAACACTTTAAAACTACATGTAAAACTTAGTTATTGAGGAACATTTATGAAGAAAAAGCTAAACACAAGGAAAATAAATATAATCATAATTATACTGACTGAAAATCACCACAATTAACATTTTTAGTGTGTAGCCTTAAAAACTTAAATATGTGTTTGTGTGTGTAAAAAATGGAAGGAGAAACCACACTGTCAATGTACACATACTTTACAATGTTTCTTTCCCTTACAATCTTGTAAACAACATCTATGTCATACAAGGGAGCATTCAAAGTTCATGGAAAAATGCCATATCTTTTCATTCCATTTTTCCATGAACTTTTTGAAGCTTTTTCATATATTTTTCTGTTGGGACTTTATAATAAATCCCACAGACCCCTCCTTCCATAGCTTCAATAATTAGCAACTTTTACAAATTTTGTTCTATCCATCTCCTTCATGACTTTGTTTTTGTGTGTGAGAATTCGCCAATGCCATGTTATTTTACTATATACTAATAGGTAACAACTTTCTAAACCATCACCTTTCTCATTCATACCCAGTTCAATTAGTAAGTTCTTAATACAGTCCTCACACAAGCCATATGCAAATGTTTCCAATAGTCTAAAAATTCATTTTATAGTTGTACAGAATTTTTAACAGAAGCATGCTATTCTATTGTATGGCTGTATAATTTAGTTAATCTCCTAATGTTGGCCATTAATCGTAGTTCTAGTGTTTTGCCGCTATAAAAAAGTACATTTAAATCTTTACATGTATTCTTAATTATTTATACATGATAAATTCCTAGGTTTTAGACTGCAGGTATTAAAAGTAATGAGATTTAGGGCTTTACATTTATAGCTACACTGCCCTCCAAAGAGACAATTCCAATTTATACTACTCTGTTGTTGTTAAGTGCCATCGAGTCAACTCCGACCCAGTGAGCCTGTATAGGGTTTCCGAGGAACAGCTGGAGAGCTTGAACCATTGACCTTGCAGTTCAAACAGCTTTGCAGTCTCGTGCATTAACCCACAGCACCACACCAGGACTCCAATATACCATTCTAGCTGTGGGTTAATGTGCTGGACTGCATAGTCAGTTTAAATCACAAGGTTGGTGGCTCAAGCTCACCATTTGTTCCTTGAAAACCCTATACAGGGTTGCCATGGGTTGGAACCGACTTGACTGCACACAAGTTATGTAGGAAAACCATAGAAAAATTGATGCATTTGAGTTATTGTGCTAGAGGAGAATACTGAAAGTACCGTGGACTGCCAAAAGAACAGGATCTGTGTTGTAAGTACAGCCAGACTGCTCCTTGAAAGCCAGGATGGCCAGACTTCATCTCTCATACTTCGGACATCCTGAATGGAGGAACTAGAAACTGAAGAAGGATATCATGTTTGGTAAAGTGGAGGGCTGGAGAAAAAGAGGAAGACCTCCAGCAAGACAGATTGGCACAGTGGTGGCAGCATCAATGGGTTCAAACGTAGCAAAGATTGTGAAGTTGGACCCAGACCAGGCAGTGTTTCATTCTGTTGTGCATAGGGTGGCTATGAGTCAGTTTTGTCTTGATGGCACCTAACATCAACAAGAAGCTATGTAGAACAAATAATCCGAGAAATTGGATTATATAAAGAGCATGGCATCACAATTGGAGGAAGACTCATCAACAACCTGTAATATGCAGATGATACAAGCTTGGTTGCTGAAAACTAAGAAGACAAAGTACTTACTGATGAAGATCAAAGACCACAGACAGCCTTCAGTATGGGTTGCACACCTCAATGTAAAGAAAACAAAAACCCTCAGCACTGGGCCAACAAATAACATCATAATAAATAAAGAAAAGACTGAAGTTGTCAAAGACTTCATTTTACTTGGATCCACTATCAATACTCATGGAAGCAGCAATGAAGAAATCAAATGACATGTGTTTGCATTACGCAAATCTGCTGCACAAAACCTCTTTAACGTGTTCATGAGCAAATATGCCAGTTTTGAGGACATCTTGACCCAGGTCAAGGTATTTTTTATAGCCTCATTTGCATGTGAAAGCTGGACAATGAATAAGACCACAGAATTGATGTTTATGAGATATGGTATAAGGGAAGAATATTCAAAATACTGTGGAGTTCCAGAAGAACAAACAAATCTGTGTTAGAAGTACAGCCAGAACGTTCCTTAGGAGCCAAAATAGCGAGACTTCACAGCTCATACTTTGGACATGTTATTAGGAGGGACAGTCCCTAGAGAAGAACATCATGCTTGATAAAGTGGAGGGTTGAAAAAGAGGACCCCCAATGAGATGGACTGGCACAGTAGCAGCAGCACTGGCTCAAGTCTAACAACGACTGGGAGGCTGGCATGGGACCGGACAGTGTTTTGTTCTGTTGTGCAAAGGGTCATTATGAGTCAGTACTGATGAGACAGCACCTAACAACAAACGATGTAAAGCTGGTCAATTTATCCACACGCTTGATAATACAACTTGTTATTCTTTATCCCAAAAATCACATTTTGCTCAAGTTTTCTCTTGCTTTTCACAAATGGTTTTTGCCACTTAAAGACAGTTATTGCAAACAAACAATAAAAGACAGTTGCAAAGGTTAAACAAAAATAAATAAATGAATAAAAGATTAAGCAAAGCAATTTTTAATAGCCTTTGCCTGAGCTAATTTACCAGCTAAATTATTCTAATTCTTGAATCCTCAAAATGATAAATTACCATGCTATGGCCCTTAGGAGTCCTGATGGTACTTTAAGATAAGCACTATACTGCTAACCAGAAGTCAGTGGTTCAAATCCCCAAGCTGATCCTTGGAAGCCCTACACAGGGTCACTATGAGTTGGAACTGGCTCAACAGCACATTAACAACTTAGCTTAACATAAAACAGAATAGTCTCTTGGCTAGGTAAGGTTTGTATTTGTATCAGTCCTCTACTCTCTTTTCTTCAGTATCTTTGCCATTTGCAGAAAACTCTTATGCTTTTGATTCTGTGCACTAAAATGAAATAACATGGTGGCAATGCAGAGTCAGACTGAAGGCAACAAGATGACAGCAATGACTAAAACGTGGAAAAATTAATCAAAGGATACCATATTATAGGAGTCCTAGTGTGGCGCTGTAGGATAAGCACTTGACTACAAAGTTGGTGGTTCAAACTCACTAGCCACTCCTCGGAAAATCTACAGAGTCAGAACTGACTAGACGGCAGTTAACAGCAAAAACATCATAGTATATCGTACTTGTTTATTAAAATTATAAATTGTTCATGGGAGAAAAATCCATTTCCCTAGAAGAGAAGTTCTTAAACTTTAATATCACCTGGAGGGCTTGACAGAGCAGTTTGTTGGGGTCCAACCCCCAGAGGTCCAGATTTAGTCAATATGGAATGGGGCTGGACAATCAGCATTTCAAACAAATTCCCAGGTGATGTGCTGATACTGCTGATCCAGGAATCACAAGTTTAAGACACTATATCCATCCTGTGCTTAGGGAAAAAGTCTTGCTCTTACCAAAATAAATTTAGCTTTTATTGTCACAGATTAAAAGAAAGGAGAAAGCGTATTTAAATGCACATTTATTATTATACCCAGCATGGGATTCTGTAAAAACCGGTGAAGAGAACTAGTAGATTTTTTCATACATAAAAATGAAGTTTTAAAGAATTTTAAAATTTTAAAGAATGCACTAGATATTTCAAAATAATTTATTTTCTCCATGAAATTTCTTTGTATTTTGAAGTTTCATCTGGCTCATAATATAACTTACAATCATCTCACATCCTTTGTGAAACGAAGCAGAGTATAAATAATAAAAACTAACAGAACCAGCTTTAGCAAGTAGAATCTAATAATTAATTTAAAAGGAGCTAAAAAAAGACACCTGATTTCTGGAACTACTTAAATGGCATATAAAAAGAGGATATATATGAGATACTTACCCCCTTTGGTTCTGGAACAATCAAATGTGTGCACTTCTTATTGAGGTTCAGCTGGCAATCCCCCCCATAGAATGTAACCAAAGCCCACAGAGCACTTCGGTCTTCAGATGACACCTGACAGAAAGTGAGAAATAGGACTTTTATCATACATTTTCCATCTCTTTATGTTTATCATTTTATTATGAGAACATATTGTGACATCCTAACTATTTTGCTTTATCTATTTTTCTGCTTTATTAAATGAAATTAACCTAAGGGTATTAGTAAAAAAATAGTTAAGCTTTTAGCTATTTACTTACTACAATAAAAATATTCCTATCATGATAGGTTTATAGATTTTTTTGCCTTATTACCAAATGATTTAAAAATATTTATATTCATATTCCAAAGACTGAATAGAGAATTATTTCAGTCTGTAACAAAAAGGAATGGGGGAGCGGGGAGCACAAAGAATTACTATACCAATCCAGCTTCCATTTTCTTAATTTCTAAAACTGTTTAACTACAATAGCAATATCAAAACCACATTTAAGGAAATCCTTAATCACTAATGGAAAACAAATAAGTAAAAATTATGAAATGGATAAAATTAAAAGATAAAAATACAATGGTTTGTTAAGTGCAGGAGGAAAATATACATATTATTCAACACAAAAAGAAAAGGCAAGCATAAAAGGAATAATTTTTATGCTTGCATAATAATGAAGACTCCAGATACGATGGTTTGAGTTTTAAAACAGGCTTTCACTATAACAATAAAAACAGCTACGATTTATTGCCTGCCTACTATGTGCCAGGAACTGTGCCAAGTGCTTTATACATAGGATTCCTAAACCTTAAAACCACCATGGGAAAATGGAATCATTATTCCCATCTTAAAAATAAGGACATAGACTCAGAAGTTAAGTAATTTTCTCAAGATTACAGTTAATACTGGAAAAGCTGGCTTTTAAACCCAGGTCTTTCACAGGTTTAATTCTAAACTTTATCTTTCCACTGTTCTATACTGCTTCTATCAGAAAAGTCACTATTAGCAAAGCCAAAATTAAAATTTTAGAGTCTGAAAGACAAAAGAAACATTTAAGAAAAAGAAAGGTGTGAGTATTAATTCTAAGATAATCATTTAACCAAGTGAATTTTTCTGGATACATTTATTATAAATTAAGGATTATGGTTGTTGACAAATCTTGAATTTTGTCTCAAGTTATTATTTTTAAAGTATTGCTAGATAAGTTAATTTCTTTTAAATTGCCATTATTTAGTTTGCCAAAACTCTAACTATCTACTCTCATCTAGCTTACAAACATTTCATGAAATGATTTCACATTCCGCACAACTCTATGAATACTAAGATTGTATCACCTCTAAAAATCCTTACTTTCTATATTTTTAATTTAGCAAATCAATGTCACTTTCAGGCGATTAGATCAGGTTGTTATTTTATTAGAGGCTTTTGCAAAAAACATTTATATCCTGCAGCATTTGGAGAGTTGAGATTTAATTATGATAACATAGGTTAATCTAATGAATAATTATATGATCTTTATTAAAAATGAAATTAAAAACATAATCTAGATATGCCTTTATTACCAAGATTGGCTATATGTCAACTAAGTATTATTTTTACCTTACTAACTGTAGTAAATAATCCTATACCATATTTGGTCTATGCCCAGGTGGAGACAACAGGGTGCAGTATATGTTGTTGTGGAAAGAACACCAGTCAGGGAAGAAGAGGAAGATCTGGGAGGCATTATGGTGTCTCCCGTAACTAACTTATGTGAGCTTGGAAAATGTCCATGAACCAGATTCTTCATCAAAGTAAGAACGTTTCAATTAAAGGATCTCTAAAAACCATAGCAGCTCATTGAACGAATCTTTATCAGCATAATCTATAATTAGGAATGCTCTTTCCACACCAAAATGTTAACAATAGTTATACAGGGTAATATGATTATGGGGATATTTTTATTTTTATACTTTTCTGTATTTTCCAAGTTTTCAAGATCATTAATTTTATAAAATTGGGGAAAAGTGCTTTTCTTTTTTAAAGCAATCTTTCTAAAACGCAAACCTTATAGTTTCAGCTAATAAAGCTTTGATGTCTCCTCAATGCCTTAAGACTAAAATCCAAAACACTTCAAAATGGTGTCTAAGACCCTTCCTTATCAGTCTGGCTCCTGACCTCCTCCTTTTATTAATGAGTGCTACTTCCCACATGCATCTTCAACTATAATCATATATAAATGACATTCCTGAGACATGTAAGGTTTCTCTGTCTCCATGCAGTACTCAACCCTCAACTCCTGCTCCTCTAAGATTCAGCTCATGGTCACTATAGTCCTATTAACATAATGCATAAAATTCTGAAGACCTATCACACTATACAACTGTATGCGATGTCTCTCCCCACTCCTCCCGCATTACATTCTAAGCTACTTAGAGCCAAGGACTGTGTGGGGGCTTCAAAAAGTTCATGGAAATTGGGATTAATGAGAAGATAATAGAATTTTCCCACACACTGAAAAACCCCCTCATATTATTTCTTCTCTGTTACTCCCCCTGTTAAGTAGATGCTTTCCTTTATACCGATCAGGAATGTCCTCCCTTTGCCTTCAGGTATCATCACCCTTACTAAAGCTCTCCATGACTAGTGCACATGGATTTCTTCTTCAGTATTGATTATGAACTATAATGCTACTTATTAAACACTACATTCTTAGAAAAGAATTAAGAAGTCTGAAACTTCTTTGACATCTTTCATAGTACCTAGTACAGTGCAAGGCACATGGGTAGGCAGTCAAGAAATATTTGTTGATTGAAATACAGAAATGGAAAGGACTTTTATTTGTCATCTTCTAGATTAAATTATGACCCTGGCGAGGCTCTCTATTACACTCTTGACCTATTCCCAGAAACCTACCCAGTACATTACAACAGAGGGCCTCAGCCTGCATCAATACCCGGTCAGAAGAAGGCAGATGGTCTCTGTGCTTTCCAACTTCTGCTGGCACAATCTCCCTTCCCTACCTCTCCCTGGAAGACTCCAACAAAGAGTTCCAGCTTGTATCAACACCCTGACAGGGAAAAGACAGAAGGGTCACTAAGAACCACCAAGCAAACATTCCTTTGTTAAAGGTGGAGTCCTGCCTGGTATATGCATGTATGGGTGTGTGTATAAGTGTTCTAGTGTTCAAGAAAAGGTACAAATACCTTAGACAGTCTCTAACCAGTGCAAAGAACAGAGCAATGATTAACCATCAGCATCCGTCCGTCTATATTATTTCTAAACCTTGTACCCACTTGCATTTTTGCACAATTAAAATATATTGTATTTGTTCCCATGTCTATTTCTCCTTCTAGGCTGTAAGTTTACTGAGGGGAGAAATGACATCTCTATTTGTATCCCTAATACCTAGGACTGTTTCAGACACAAAAGAAGTATTTATCAAATATTTGTTGAACCAAAGTTCCCTAGCTACACACACTATATGTATGTCTGTTAATATATCCTAAAAATGAATGAACATTTATAAGCAATCACAAAGCATTACTGCCTCCCAATACCCTTTCCTTATGCTAAAATTTCCAGGATTCTTCATATGAACTACTCTAATGTAAGATCTTATCCATCTATTTCTAAACAATCTTTCTGAATGTAAAAGCAGGGCTTTGTGTTTTACCCTGTTAAATTATACACTGCAGGCTTCAATTCATCATAAGTGATGAATTGTGATAATAAGTGTATTAAAATCATATCAGATTCCGGTTTTTATTACCCAGCGAAATTTCTAACACATTGTCACATTAAAACACTGTCAAAAGTCATGCTAAATTCCTTTTATTTTTGTCCATCATAGATCGCAGTTATTTTTCTAAATAATTTTTAGCACATAAATAAAATTCTACCTTTCAGCTGAAGATGAGCACTATCGCCGGTATCACCAGCAGAGTCACTTCCCAGATTTTATCACCAAATGACACTATTCTACCTTCAAGAATCTAGATATGCATGTTCTCTGGCCACAGCTTCCTCACCTATATGGTTTTCTTCATTCTTCCCTGACCCCTAACTGACTATCCTGGTTTGTCTTCTCAGCCAGAACCCAAGATCTACATGGAACCATAAGTATGCTCATCAGTCCTGTCACTTCTCATCATTCTTTTTATCCTGGGTTACAGAACAGGTCTGAGAGAACACACGGGACTATGGACATCTATCTATGACAAATTCAAGCACAAATTCTACCTGGGGCATTGCTATTTCCAGCAATAAAAATAAAAATTACTATTTTCTTTTTGATTTTTTATAAAAAGTCTGACTTTATCCTTGGTTTCTGAAAATAAAAATCCTACTTCTCCAATTGTCTGTATTTATATTCAAATCTCCTTAGACATGTATGTTACCCCAAGCTCTATACCTGGTTATCTGCTCTTACTCCTAGTATACTCTGCAGGAATTTATAATTCTCAGCACCTTCATGATGTATCTTGTATGTATGAGATTTCCATTTGGATAGTTGATCAACACTCTAAATTCATTGCGTTTCCAACTTTCTAATTCCCATTTTGTACCTTCACTTGCATTGTACTAATCTTAATCCAAATCTTCTTCACCTCAGGTCTAAAAGATTCTAACTTTTCATCTTGCAAAAACTCCAATCTCTACCCTGCCTTCATATGTCACATTTAGGTCCACAACCAATTGCAGGTGGTTCTAATTGTATTTACTTTTTTCTGTGTTTTCCAAATATTCTAATACAAACATTTATAACTCAAAATTAAATAAAATAAGATAGTACCCTGTTGAGTAAGGAGATATGGTAGCATAGTGGTTACGAATCGGGCTTCTAACCTTAAGGTCAGCAGTTCGAAACTACTAGCTGTTCCACGGGAGATGAGGCTCTCTGCACTCATAAAGATTTACAGCCTCTGAAACTCTGAAACAGGGTTACCATGAGTTGGAACCAACTCCATGGTACTTAACAACAACAACCCTGTTGAGTACTTTCTGAAGCTCAAGCTCACTTGCCAAAATTTCAAGATTTTTCATATTCTCAACCCATCTAACTACCTAAATACATAATCCTGGCTCTGATTATCAGTCTCCTCATAATGAGCCTCATAATGTGCCTTCCTGTTTGCTCCTATTTTTCTCCATATAATATGCCCCTCCTCCATACCCTATTTTTACTCTCATTTTGTTTATTCTTTCGGATCCAACTGAACTCTTATATCCTCTATTAAGTGGCTCCAATCATTTCTATTGTCATAAGTCTTTTCAAACAGTTCACATTGATGCCTTCCTTTTCTGGACTCATATATTCATACCTGTGCCACTATATTTAGCACAGTATATATTATATATCGTGGCATGGTGCTGTGGGATAAAGCACTGGACTGACTGAAAAGTCGGTCTGAATCACAAGGTTGGTGGTTCAAACTCACCAGATGCTCCTTGTAAACCCTGTACAGGATTGTTACGAGTCGGAACCAACTGGGCGTCCCTTAACAATATAGTATACTGGAACCCATCAACTGCTCCACATGAGACAGATGAGACAGTCTGCATCTCATCTGCTTTACAGCTTCAGAAATCCAATGGAGCAGTCCTACTCTATCCTACAAGACAGGATCAAGTCAATAGAAGTGGGTTTGGTTTGGGTTTTTTAGTATATATACTATAATCTTATATGTATTAATATAATACTCTTGCAAATGGTTAATGTACTCAACTACAGACAAAAAAGTTGGAGGTTCAAGTCCACATAGAGGCACTTTAGAAGAAAGTACTAACAATCAACTTGTGAAAAATTAACCACTGAAAATCTTTTGACATACATGGAAACACTAAGAGCTGGAATTGACTCAACAGCAACAGGTATAGTCTTTTCTTTCTTCCTGTCTCCAAGAATAAAAGCATTCCACAGTGCTACACTCATAATTAGTATTTAGTAATATCCAATAACCTAATTTAAAACGCTCTACTTAGCTTACTGTCATCAAGTAGATTTGGACTCATAGTTACCCAGCATTGGATTTCCAAGCCTGTAAGACTTTATGGGAGCAGAAAGCCTCATCTTTCTGCTGCAGAGCAACTGGTGGGTTTTAACTGCCAACCTTACAGGTAGCAGTCTAGTGCTTATCCTACAGCACTACCAGCTCCCTAATTACCTTATACATATTTTGAATTTTATTATTTATTTCATTAAGTTTGGTAAATTCCAAGCCACTGTGACCTAGATTCTGAAAAAGACCCACAGGACTCCTCCACACCCACCCCAAGTTTCAAGTGCTCATCTTTTCCTCTTGCTCATTCAGTTAGAATCATCTTTGGACATTGGATTTCTATTTGAAACCCAAAAACCCAATCATTATGTAATATAATTAAAATTTAATTTTAGCCAAAGTATACTCTGTTTATGCATAAGCAATATAGTAATAAAATGTTTTCTATTTTAATTTTTCTCTAAATTTGGAACATACAGAGAAGTATAAGGAAAACAACCAAAATTACATATAATCATAGCACCCAGTGATAAAAAAAATTTTTTCATTTTCGTCAACTTCAAAGATCATCATCATGTAACTATACATTGATCACATATGAAAAACATTGAAAAATATAAATATCAACAAAATTCTTATTCTAAGGGTGGGGTGGGGTGGGGAATCAATTTTGCTTCTTTAAGGATGTCCATCAAATTTATGTAGCAAGGGAAAAAAAGAGGATTTTATCGTTTTAAAAAAACTTTTAGAATTTATAAGACCAAAAATAAAAAAATACAGTAACCACAGTTAAACTTACTTATAACTTAGACAAAGACATGACCAAATTCATCTCTATTAAAAGCTAAGCCTGGACAAAACCTAACAGTGGTAAAGTAAGTATGACCTGGTTCTATAATCCTCTATTACAAAGAAATAGTAAAACCCAGCAAGACCATAATCAAAGACCTTTTTATGGTATACCCCTCTCCAAAGCTTTCAGACAGGTTATGAAGGAATAAACCCTATCTCAAAAATATCCTCTTGAGAATAACAAAATTACAGATTATGGACCAGGTCTGTGACAAATAAAATGGCAGTACAATAGACAGTGGGTTTTCCTGTCCAATACCCACTAATTTTAAACAAACTGTTCTATGTAATTTTAAAACAAACTTAACAATGCAAACTTAATTTCTTAAAATATTATTTATGGTTTGAGATTTGAAAAAAAAACCCACAAACTAAGGGTTTAGAAGAACAGACTATAATTTAAAAATTAATCACTTTTTTCACTACCCAGAATTAACCACTGTTAACATTTTGGTCCCTCCTTTCAGATATTTCCTGTTTTATTTGGTTAATATGACACCATAATACCTATTCTATAGCCTGCTTTTTTTCCCTTCCTTTCAGATATTTCCTATTTTATTTGGTTAACATGATACCATAGTACCTATTCTATTGCCTGCTTTTTTTCTCACTTAAAATATTTTCAACGTCTTTAACTTCATAAAATATAAAAAATGGTGACAAAGCTAAACACTTGCTTAAGTGTACACAACCGGTTTCTTAACCTTTTTCAAATATAGGATAATCTGATAATTTCTCATTTTACTCTATTAAGTGTCAAGTCAGTTCTGACTCATACAGACCTTGTATAGGGTTTCCAAGACTTTGAATCTTTTCGGGAGCAGAAAGCTTCATCTTTCTCCCATGGAGAGACTGGTGAGCTCAAGCTGCAGACCTTGTGGCTCCAAGTCAGTGCTTATCCTAAGGAGCCACTGCACTCCCTCTTATGTAACAATGCTGTGTTACACATCTTCATGCATCAATCTAAACACCTTTATACATCAATCTGTCCTTACTTCTATCAATTTGGGATAATTTTCTAAACTTAAGAAACTGTAGGCCGAAGAGGAATGAATACTTTACGGCAAATGATACTGCTAAACTTTCCCAGAAAACAGTTACACTGATTTGCAATTCCGCCAATAGTTAAGTAGGAGTATTTGTTTGTCTTCGACATTTCTACCAGCATTGAGTATGCTGTTACAAATTGGATAACCATGAATTTTTATCTTGCTATTATAATTCCTACACCTTTGATTATTAAAGTATATCAAATGTTTTCTTTTACTTATTTAGTATATGTATTTTGTTTATAACCTATAAATTCACTTCTTTGACTTATCTGCCAATATCTTCACTATTTTTTCTTACTGATCTATATAAGTTCTTTGTTTACTAAGAAAATCAATTATTTGTCTATAGTTCTGACTGTATTTTCTTTGTCATCTTTTTAATTTCATTTTTAACATTTTTCTCATATTCAAGTTTCAAATCTATGGAATTCTTTACAAAGATCATTTTCATCCATTAAAAACTTAGTCTTAAAAATAAGCATGACTATTTAAATAATCATTAAGTGTGCCACAAGCTCATATTGAATATGCAGTAGTCAGTTTAGTCAATAGATTCTTTTATAAAAAAAAAAAAAGGTTAACAAGTAAGTCATAAATACAATAAAATAAAAAACCAGAAGTGTTATGTGTAAATAATTTACAACTAATTAGAACCATGCTTACCTGAGAAAGGCAGGCAGTGACTCCAAAAAATATCTGACATGATTCTGGAGAAAAACCATTTACTCTGTTTTATAGTCATTAAGATTACAATGTAATAAAATTAGTGCAACCTGTACTTCACTAATAGATATAACCCTCTCTCCTCCCATTTCTTCCCTTCCTCCCACTCAATCCAGTTAGGAAAGAGTCAGCTTTAAATTGACCACAGAAAAGTACAGAGCAGATTAGAATAGAGAAGAGGGTAGGTAGCACAAAGAAAACTGAGAGGTTTACTATAAAGTACATTTTAAATTCTAACCTTTCCACTTACCAATAAAATTGGCATATTAGTTATGGGGGTAAGCATTTGGCCTTTTGATAGCTAGCTTACTACACACGTACACACACATACACATACATGCATGCCATAATAATCATTTAAAAAACAAAAAAAAATTTTCAATTTTAGAATGAAATGTTAGTGTTTACCTCTATGAAAATAGAATCCTTTATAAAAGAACTGAGGTTCTAGATTTACTATTACCATTAACCGTTAACTTGGGCAAGATAATTTTCCTCTGCTAAAACAAGAGTTGGATTATGTAATTCCCCAAATCCTTCCCAAGTCTTCAGCTCTGATTTAAAAAATCCATTCAATATAATTACTGAGAGCTTACTATGAGAACATGGCTATAAATAAGGTACACCTGGGCTCTATGTGCCTTTTTTTTTATCTACTGAAAACAAACACAATAAGCTTTTCTGAAGTTTGAAGTATCTTGAGTTCAAAATGGTTAAAATATTACTTTTTATCACAATTGGTGAAAACTATATATAAATTGATATAGAAGAATTCAGAAAAAAAATTCTTAATGTAACAGAAATTCTATTGCAATACTGAAGCCTTCTATATGAGGTCCTGGTATAGTACTGTATGATAAGCACTAGACTGCCAAATACAAAATATACGGTTCAAACCTACCAGCTAACTCCTCAGAAACCCTATACAGGGTCGTTATGATTCAAAACTGAGTCTATGGCACTCAACAACATGTAAGGTATACTAACAAATCTTAAAGATTTGAACATTCCGTGACTATAATAAATAGGCTCAGACATGACTTAATCAGCCCAATGATCCAAAGATCAGTTTTAATCTTCCTACTACACAGACCATACATTTTATACTTCCAACAGCTTGAGGAAACATCAGCAAAGGTAAACCTCAGCATATACAAAATGCAGTGTCTTGGAGGTTCCCTTTTCTAGTTCCTTCAGGCTTCTTTAATATATAGGCAAATAACAGCTCAAGGGAGTAGACAAGTTCTGAAGAAAATGTTGCATGGAGAGTAACAAGAAGAACTAGCCTCTTATCTTCAGAAATACCCATTCCACTCCTAATCCTATTTTATTTATTTATTTTTAATCTACTATACAGGGTCGCTATGAGTCAGAACCGACTCCATGGCACATAACCACCACCACCACTCTTATAAAAAAGGAAACAAATAAACAACCCGTCATCCCATTAGAGCCCTCCAAATACACACATACACACACACACACCACAACCACCACCACCCACTGGGAACTGATTTCCTTTAACTCTTCAAATTATAGATAAGAAATCCTACGATTTTTGAGTTGGAGTTGCTGATATTATGCATATACTCCAAGAGCTGCAGTTCCAGAGATGTTTTCTGTTCATTTGAGGTATCCTATAAATATTCAATTAAAATAAGATTCCTTCCACCCACAGTACTTCCACAGGTAATAAATGCATTCAAAGGAACTACTTTGTAAAGCTACAAAATAAAATAAGGTAAAAGGCTCTTCTCACCCAGATCTGAAATTTTATAATGACTATATGGTATAAGGAGTCCTGGTGTGACGCTGTGGGTTAATGAGTCAGACTGTAAAGCTGTTTGAACTGCAAGGTCTGCAGTTCAAGCTCACCAGCTGCTCCTTGGAAACCTTATACAGGATCGCTATGGGTTGGCACCAACTCCACGGCGCTTAACAACAACAATGTGGTATAAGGTACTCTTAAAAGATATTATTTCCAAAATTAGGTTATGCTCAAGAGGAAATCTCCTGAAAATGAAGATTCGTATTTTCATAACTTAACACAAGCCATCTGATAGTAAACAAATAAAGAAGAAGGCTTCATTCCCACCTAGCACAGTCCTTGGGGCAAAGTCACATTCAAAATATGTTGTTGTATAAATGAATAAATGCATGTACGCAAGAAAGCTCCTTGAGGGCAGAAATTCATGTCTTCTTCCCCAGTATGTTTTTAGTACCCAGCCCAAAGCAGGCAGTCAGCAAATTAATAAACCTTCCTTCCATCTAGTGTAACTAAAATGAATTACCAATGCATGCTATAAAACTAAATAATTTCTTTGGGTTTTCTCTTCTTCAATCCACCCTTCAAATAATTCATGATTTGGTCTAGAATTTTAGACCAAATCTAGCTAGACATCACAGAAGTTATCTGTTTCACATATGAAAACTAAGGTCCAGAGAAGCAGACTGCCCAAGATGTTAAAGCTGAATAGTAGAACTAAAAACCTGTGTCTTAGTTGTCCTAGCCTAGAGGTATTTCCACATTAGCTGGCCCTTCATTTTTTACACTAGTAATGGCAAGGATCAGACTTCTGGTGAGTCGTTTTAGGATCAGCACTGGACTGCAACCCACAAGTTCGGCAGTTCAAACACACCAGCTGCTCCTAGGAATCCCTACACAGGGTTGCAACTGAGTTGGAACCTATATCTCAATGGTACTTAACAACAAGAGTCAATGACAAGGATCAGCTACATAAAATTTGACACAGCATAGAAAACAGGAGGAATATAGAATAGAGACAACACAAATTATCCTAACTAATAAACCTCTGATCTTCAATAAATACCATTCTAATACTAAACCAGGAGTTACCCTTTCCTTCTCCCCCCAACCCCCAAAAAAAAAAAGGATACGGCAGAAGAGCTCCACACTGAACGGATAAAATCACCCAAGAAGGCTGAAAAACAAAATAAAAAGAATTTTCAAATTATAATCAAAGTTATATTATTTTAGCAGCATTGTTCATAAAAATTAAAAGACTCTATTAGAACTGATTACAGAACATCCACATTATGAGTACTCAGGTAGTAAGAATACCAAAGATTAGTTTATTAATGTCCAAAATGAAAAATCCAATTACAGAATTACACATTACTTGATTAAAAACCAACAGAAAAAAAGATTCCATAGAGACATTTCAATTTCAAGTTTATGTAAGCAAAGCTTCTAGGCAAGCAGAAATACTCTGTCCTAATAAGAGGGTTAACAACACTGCTGTTCATCTCGTCCCATGCCACTCCATCCATGGAATAGAATAAAGTCAGCCATTCATAAGTTCCCTTGAATCTTGAATTCAATGAAGTCTAAATTCATGAGATACTTTTAGGGAAGTCAAGTGTGTCTGTAAGCCACAAAACTTATTGTCTAATCATTATTTTGTGAATTCTAAAATTAAGATTAATTATGAAAACTAAGGTAGCTTTTATTTTTGAAAAATTATCTTATTTTCTATTCTACATTTAATTTTTAAAATTAGACTAATTTGCTTTATAAAATCACATATAAAAATATAGTTATACTCCGTGTAGCAACTCACTTCCAGCAATTTCACCTAACTGAAACATAGCTACATACTTAACAGTTATTCAACAATTCATTCATTAAATATACTCACTCTTCACTTATCAACATAGTTAATTTCCAAGGACCATGTCACTATGTGAAAACTGACAGTATGGGAAAATAGTGGAGGACTACATCATTACATAACTGCCAAATCACATCATAACATAATTACCAATCCACTGAAATTCATGGCCAGCAATGCTGACAAATAACCTTAAGCATCACAATTAGCAGAGTTACTCTCACCTCATGGCATGCACATCAGTGTGTTCATTATATGTGTTAATGCCAAATGTATGCCGTTAATGACACAAAATAGATTTCTTACTACGGTTGTAACTATGAAATGTCAAGTAATGAGACAAATACACTTACTGAGAATCTATTTTGTACCAGAGATGGCACAAGGTTTTGGGTATGTATAGTAACAAAAAGGAGCTCTGGTAGAGTAGTGGTTATGAATCGGGCTGCGAACCGCAAGGTCAGCAATTCAAAACTACCAGCTATTCTGAGGGAGAAAGATGAGGCTTTCTGCTCCTGTAAAGGTTTACAGCCTCGGAAACCCTGTACAGGGTTGCTATGGTTCGGAATCGACTCCATGGCACACAACCACCATAGTAACAAAAGAAACCATAGTCTTTTATCCAGTTAATATTTCAAATTAATGAACTTCAAACTAATTTGCTCATGTACATCTTAAAAGAATTTAAAAACATAAGTACCCACATCATCATTTTCAGGTGATATCTAAAATTTTCAGTGTAAGTTTAAATAAACTTGTTGTAAAGTGCAGTTCAGCTGATCCAGACTCATAACAACTGCGTATATGGTTTCTGAGGCTGCAAATCTTGACTAGAACAGAAATCCTCATCTTTATCACAGGATGTAACTGGTGGGTACAACTCATTGACCTTATGGTTCACAGTCCCAAGCTTAATCTACAAAGTCACTGCAGTCCCATAAATAAGTTTATTTGCCAATAAGAGAGGAATGCTAAACATCTTATAAAACAAGACAAAGTATTTTATTTGGTAGAACTACTTCATGATTTGATAATTTCATCAGGAGTTTTAACTAACGTATTGAATAAAGTATACCATATCTGAAAAAGATCACTTAACACTTCTATTCATGTAGTATGTTGTTGTAGTTATATGCCATGGAATCGGTTCTGACTCATAGC